AGAGAAAGAGAGAGATAGAATTCTCAAGTCACTTCCTAGTTTTGAGGAGCTTTAAATAATCTTTTTCAAAATCAAAACTTCAACGATGTGTTTAGAAAAAATTACCATTTCTTCACAAATTTGATATCACAAGAGTTTTGGTAGAAATTGGATGAAAAAAGGTATGTTCTACAGTCTACTGTTTTCATTTCTCGATATCCATCACAACAAATTAAAAAAAGTAGGTGGCGTTGGAAAGAGAGAAAAGAGTAGACAAATTCTAAAGTCAGAAATTTTCGGTTGAATTCAAAAAATTCCCTAGTTTTCCAACAGTGATGTTCAGGTATTCATATAGAGAATTTACTAATTGATGAGGCTAAATCTACAAACAAAAATGGTGACTTGCTTATACGAATCATCAACATGACAAAACATGAACAATTCATATTATCAAATAAATTTTAGAATCGATCAAAAACTAGTTGAATCTGCTATGTTAATTATTTACCTTTGGTAGATATTGTTTCAATGAGATATTTATAAATTTTAATATATGTGATTCTAGTCTATTGTCATCAATCATTATTGATATTCTTTAAGAATTATTTTATATGTGTTTCATAGTAATAGGTCGATAGAATAATATTTTCGTACCAAATAACTTCCATCTTTTTTATTGTCCCTCATTTATGAATGTTCTTTGGTGGGATTTCAAATTTCTGATATTTAAGACGTTTACATAATAGACTGCAAGTCCATGCAAAATTTTTGGGGAGTCTTATGTCGCTCTTGAGAATATGTGATTTTCATAGTCGTGGAAAATAGAATCAGTTTCAGTCTTACGCCGCCAGTAGTATGTGGCAAACGTGAAAATCTTGGAAAAGTTAAAACACTAACTAAAGTGGGGGCTGACTTGCCGAAAGATCCTGTACAATTCTTGTGAATTTAGAAATAAATTACAACTAGCTAAACGATGTACAAAAAAATGAGACGGAAAAATAGGATGAATATTCTTTTTTGCAAAAGTGACCTCTATATTCGAAGATGATCAATTCCTATATGGCTTTCGTAATATCAGTTTTTCATGAGTTGAAAACAACTCATTTATTTTGTCATTATGTATGAATTCATGTGTTTATTGGACGGTGAGGTTAAGATCAACCCCTCACCCTGAAATGGCGGTTCAAGGCATGTTTGACCCTACATTCACCACCCCATTAACGAAATAGTTTGTACTTTATGACCACATAATCGTTTTTGATGTACAGGGTGTATCCACAATAGGTGGGTTGACGATAGTTGCTTCCTATTAGATATACAAAAAATGTTTCGGGAAAAAGTTCTATAGAGATCAATGAAAGTTATATTTCGGAAATCATACAAGGTGTTCAGTAAATGTGTGACAGACCAATTTTTAATAGAATACTCTAGATATTTTTACTCGATTGGATTTCTTGGGCAAAGTATTCCTCAAAAATACAGATGTTTTACTTACATAGTCTGATTATATGTAAGTAAAAGAACGTAAAATGAGCATTTCTATCTTTTATCTTGACTTTATTGTTTTACTGCTTATATACAAATGATATTTTAACTATATCAGAAAATGGGTTCAACACCAAATATCTCCTACTTGATTAAAAAGAATGATGAAATTTTTCAACCAAATATCCCCCTAGAATAGTTTTTTCATTTCATATTCATGAGTTTGAAAAAACGGCACTTTTTCTATACAGGGGCAAACAAAAATCGGGATCACTTTTTTATCAATGCTTTCAAATGAAACACCCTGTACATAGGGTGTTTCATTTGAAAGCATTTGAAAGCACCCTGTACATAGGGTGTAGAATAGTTCACACTATGAGCTTTCAGAATTTGAAGGGATTGACTGGGTTATTTCTATCGGCAATGTATTTGATTCTTGAGGGAAATACGAGAAAGACAATAAACGGTGCTGTACAAAACAAGTAACAAACTGAAATCAAACTATTCAAAAACCCACAAATTCACAATAAATATTCGAAGAATCTTCCATTTTGAGCTATGCATAAATGAAGTCTATCAATAGTTTTCCTTCGAACTTCAATTATAGTTGGTTTTGTAATAAACCAAAAACATTCTTCAATACTGTTTTTTATGGCTTTCACATCCACATAAATAGAAATCTAGGAGCGTGAGGTCTGGGGATCGTGCATGCCAGTGAATGTGTTCATTCCTTCCATGTGTTATTCCTACGCCACCTGTTTAAAAACCTCCTCACCCGATTTTTATTGTGGAGAGTCACACTATCATGTTGGTAAGCCTTATGTCAATCGGTACATCCTCCAACAAATCCTAATAATCATTCCGGAGAAAATCTCTATAAATTTCTCTATTCAGAGGCATATGAAAGAAATATTTTCCTAGGACCTGATTCCCAATTATGCTCCCCCAAACATTTATCGATCATCTGCTTTGCTAATCGACTTATCTTATCCAATGGGGGTTCTCTGATTAGAGCAGTACATATTATGTCTATTCACGTTTGTTTGAAGGTGGTTGACAATTTTTCGTGGTGTATTTCATCAGTTCGGACTTCCATTTTCTAATATAATATAAAATGATTTGAAAATCCAGAAAAAAATCATGAGTCTTCGGAAAACAAAACATACTTCAAAATATTCAGTTCTTTGCTAATTGAATTCAATACATTTTCGCAATACCAAACTCTGGTATCATAATCCGTTCTATAGAGTTCTTGATGTAAGTAATTCAATTCGGTATGGATGAAGTTTATTTTTCAGCAACATCCTGTTCACGTGAGTATGATTTACATCTAACTCTCTTCCAATTTCCCTCGTACTCACATGAGGATTTTCGACTGTTAAAAGCATAACTACTAATTAATTTCCTTCATCTGTTTCATTTTCATTTTCAATTTCATTTACCACCTGCCTTTTTTTATGCTTGACCTTGCGTGTTTCCTCAAATCTTCCTTCAACCCTCTAAAAATTATCCAGTCGCATAGACCTTGAGTTGGGATATCGAACAGTATATATTCTACTAGTTAATAAACAATTTCTGTTCACCCAAAATATAGATCATATTCATTATTTTAAGAAATTTCATTTCGAGAAGAAAAATATTAGATTTCAAAAATAATAATTCACCTGCTCAATAACTAAATGTTAAGTCTGTTGACAGCTCCTATAACATTCAAATTTTCCAAGGGTCATTTGATATAACTGAAATGATCTACATTCTGAGTAGATGTTAAATAAACCCAGCTTCTTAACGAAGCCGATTAGTTTGTACGGTGAGTGTTCTTTCACGTCAGATGGTGAGAGTACGGCT